AGCAGGGAGCCCGATGCGGGGCTCAATCCCAGGACCCTGGGATCATGACCTGAGCCAAAGGCAGACGCTTAACGACTGAGCCACCCAGGCGCCCCAGAAAAAGATTTCTTAAAAGGGAGACAAAGCACTATCCATATAAGAAAAACATTGACCGCTCAGACTTTATTAAAATTAAGAATGCCTATTCAACAAAAGGCATCATTAAGAAAGTGAACAGACAAGCTATCGATTGGAGAAATTATCTATAATACATATAACTGACTGAAAACTCATATCCAGAATATATGAAGAAACCTGCAAAGCAGTAAGAAAAAAAAAAAACAACTAACTTTTTAAAACAGGCAAAGGCTCCGAATAGGTACTTCACCAAGAAGATAACCAAATGGACAATATATAAAATCCAATATATGAAAATGTGTTCAGTAGCATTACTCACCAAGGAAATGTAAAAACATGAGATACTACTACATACCCACCAAAAAGCCACAAATTTAAATGACTGAAATAATCAAGCACGCAGAGAAGACTCAATATAGCAGACTTAAGACTGCTATCCTTTGAAAGGCCTGTTTGCAAAGTTGACCCTTTGCTGGCATCTAGAAACTTGGATTTTGACAGGGTCTCCACTGTACTCAGAACTGATAAAAATGGCACACTGTGCCTAAATTATTTGTGCAAACGATATGGTTTATGCTGAACATCTGCTTTCCTTCTAGGAATCTGGAATTATGGTATGGAATTATGGTATGTGCTAGGCAGAGGGTGCCAATATGAACAGACCCCCAGTAAAAACCGGACCCTCTAAAAAGTCCCTCTGGTAGAAAACATTTCACATGTGATCACAGTTCATTGCTGGAGTGAGAATTAGGCATATCCTGTGTGGCCACACTAGGAGAGGACTCTTGGAAGCCTGTGTCTGATATCCTCCAAACTTTGTCCCATGGTTTTTAAAAATGAAAAAACTCACCAAGCAGTATACTTAAGATTTGTGCACTTTATATATAGTTTATAAACCAACGAATAAGCAAATGTCTTTTAAATGACAGGAGAAAACATGTACAATATATATAATAAAGGATCTATATCTAAAATATGAAGGACGAATAAAAATCAGTAAGAACAGGTCAGCAACCTAAAGGAAAAATGACAGGCAAGTCAAAGGAAAAGATAGCCAATAAAAACATACTAAATGATGCTTAATTTCATCAAAAATCAGGGAAAACAATCTAAAACATTGAGATACTACTTTTGTCCATCATATTGGTAAAAATTTATATGACTGGTAATGTTGTTTATAAAAAAATTAAATAAAATATAAGTTCCATGAGTACAAGAACCTTACTGTCTACTTTACTGCTAAATTCCCAAGTTCTAGAACAGTGGTTGGCATATATTAGGCCCTCAATACAGATTTGTGCCAGGAAGGAATTGAGAAAGGGAAGTTGAGTAAAGAATTAAAAAAAAAAATAGTATTCCCTTATTCCTATATATGCACCAGTGACCAGAGTATAAAAAAAAGGTACAGCCTTTTTGAACAGCCATTTTGTAATTTGTGTATCTGCTTATCTAGCAAATCCATTTATTTCTTTCCTTAAGAAACATTAAAATGTGGGGGCACCTGGTGGCTCAGTCGATTAAGCATTTGCCTTTGGCACAGGTCATGATCCCAGAGTCCTGGGATGGAGCCCCACATCGGGCTCTCTGCTCAGCGGGGAGTCTGTTCTCCCTCTCATTTTCCCTCTGTGCTCTCCCTCTCTCTCTCTCTCAAATAAAATCTTAAAAAAAAAAATTAAAATGTGAACACACAATATGTGAAAAACTGCAAGAATGTGTACTGTAGCACTATTATAGCAAAAACTAGCATGTAACATATACTGTGCATTAAAAGGGGAATGGTTAAATAAACTATGTCTCCTCTCTGTCATGGAATATTACACAGCAATTAAAAAGGAATAAAGTAGACCTACATGTAATGGCATGGAAAGATCTCCAAGACATACTAGGTTAAGGGGCGCCTGGGTGGCTCAGTCGTTAAGGTCTGCCTTCGGCTCAGGTCATGATCCCAGGGTCCTGGGATCAAGCCCCACATCGGGCCCCCTGCTCCACAGGAAGCCTGCTTCTCCCTCTCCCACTCCCCCTGCTTGTGTTCTGCTCCCGCTCTCTCCCTGTCAAATAAATAAAATCTTAAAAAAAAAAAAGACATACTAGGTTAAACAAAAAGTTGTACACCAATGCACACATTTAAAAACAAACAAAAAAGGGGTGCCTGCGTGGCACAGTCAGTTGAGCTTCCGACTCTTGGTTTCAGCTCGGTCGTGATCTCAGGGTTGTAAGATTGAGCTGAGCGCTGAGAGTGTGCTTTCTCCCTCTCCCTCTTCCTCTGCCCCTCCCCACCTCTCTCTCTCTAAAATAAATAAATTAAAATCTTAAAAAGACAAAAAGCAAAACCAAAACCAAAAGTCCACTAAACTATGTATCTTATGTATACACATATATGTACATCAATATATAGGAACAGGTATAAGAAATGATAACCCAAACCAGTAACAGTGGTTACTTCTAGAGATGTGAGTTAAACTAGTGGGTAGTGGTTTTTATTTTTTCTAGATTGAGTTTTTCACAATAAAATGTATTCACATACTTATGCAAAAACAACCCAACAAAACTATTGTTCTTCCTTA